TATTAAATCAGGTAGTTTTCCTCAAATTTGCTGCCTTCTGAGACTAAAATTAGAAACTCTGGATTACTTTATACACTTTCCGATTTACACAATTTTCCACTCTTTTTGTAGTTCTGGCTGAAATAAAACACAAAAAATTAGCCCAAACATTTTGCCACCGTCATCTTCTTATTGAAAAATTAACGGGAATTTCAACGGTGCTATTAGATTTTCAGAGAAATGTTTAGATTAAAAGATATCACGATTTTCCGACGCCAGGACGTGATATCTTTCAAAATCGATAAAAAGCGAAATTACTCTGAAATGGTTGAGAATCGGACCATGGACAATATGAACTTTTTTGTTCATTTTAGGGTGAAGAATCTACTGGAGAAGTTTGTAGCACGAGTAGCAATTCACCCTGTATAGTTTATTTGAGTTTAAATGATTTGGAACATTTTAGGTGAATTCATTTTTTATATCACTCATTCTTTAGAATATTCGTGATTTCCATGGCCTTCCTCTGCATTGTGAGAAGACGGTTCCTATAAATATTAAGGATTATATTGTTCAATTTCCGGTACCTCGGCCCCGGTCGGGAGTAATTACATCCACCTGGAGCCGAAAGATGATTATCGCCAATGTTTTGAGGACGGAAGAAATATGGGCTAGTCCTTGGTCCCTTCCTCCCCCGTCGGGCTTTAATTAAAAGACGGATCATTTTCTTTTGTGAGCTGCGACTCTCCAGCCAATAATGTCAGCCGACGGTACCAAATCTCCAGGCAGTCTTTCAGAGAAAAGGCACGCGCGTTTAATAAAAATCTGTCTTCGCTACAGTTCACAAGTTCATTTCACTGGAATTTCCAGACCGGCATGCGAGGGAGCTGCGCATTCCACACGTGGGACCTCTTGCATCCTCCTCGCCCATGAAAATGTACGACTGACTTAATCGTCAGTTTTCTCTCGCTCAAATACGAAAGCGTTCATTTTCTTCCACTATTTACAAAAGGAATGGATTTTACTTGTCGAAATGATAAATTATAGAGGGTTGTTAAGGCATTTTGTACGTGCTTTGGATAAGTGGCAGACTTTTTTCGAATAAGCACCCCCCGGAGGTGGCAGAAATCGATTCCAAAACAGCCCCTACGACACGTCTCTGCACAGGATGCATACTAAACACCCTTCGGGGTATAAAGGTGGCTTTTCACTTTCACCCATGTCTTGTCAGTCAATAACCAATTGAATAATATTGTACATTTCTATTACAAAATCAAAATACGATAGGTCATATGTTATTAGACCCAAATTTCTCCACCTCAAGTTTAAAGTCTAAACTATCAGTACAAAAAAAATCTTCACTTGTATAGTTTAAATTAAATACAGAGACCTGCTGAATACTAACATACTGTAAGATCAAGGTAAGAAATCGAATCACTCACTTGACACAAGCATTCCAACAATTTCCTTATTAGATTTGAAAGTAAAGAAGCTTACTGTTTGAAAGGAAGCAGGAAAAGTCTCAAAATCAACTGGTTTCTTGACGTATTTCAAAAAACACGTTTTATATTATGCAAGGCTAGAAGAAAACCAATACACCTCAGTGCTTACTTTCATACACAAATGTGTCAAATAATCAAATTTCTCGCTGAATCAGGTCTGATAGTAGAAGTACTGAAGGGGGTACGATTGACTCTGAAAGGAAACTGTACAGCAATTTTACAGTGAATTTTCAGATCATTTAGTTCTTATTTTAACACTCAACACTAGAAACCTTTGGTTGTATAAAATAAATTAAGAGAAGGTATCGACCAATTGAAGTTTAATTTGATGTATGATCAGTATTATTGTCATGGGGTCGAATTAAAACAAAATTCCAACTTTGCCAAGCTTCGACCCGGGCTCCAAGGTCATCATCAGGGCCTATATTTTTAAACAAATTAACAACAATTATTTTATATTATAAAAACAAACGATTTTTGGCACCGGCAACTACTTAATATATTGGGTTTGTTATAAAAGTTAATTTTTTAATTTGTTTGAAAGTCTGATGTCCCGGGCCCAAAGTTTGGTAAAGTTGGAATTTTGTTTTATTCTACCCCTTGACCATAATCTTGATTATACATCAAAATAAAATATTTTGAAGGAATGATCTTTTAAGCGGACTACACAATAGACCACTACACTTTACCAATCATACTTGATCGATATTATACTAAAAGTGAAGCGTGATTGAAAAAACAGCTCGGATTTTCATGGAATCTCAATTTCATCAGATAAATTATCCATTGGTTTTGAAAATCTCTGGAAAACGGGCCAGAAATAAATTATACATTTTGAAACGAAATAATTCGTCCTAAAGAAATAATTTATTTTTCCTTTAAGTATGGCAAGGCCGACTACGACTGACGAGAGCTCACGACCTTTCATTTTTTTAATGTCCTTTTCTGGAAGATTGGCAAATCGTTAACTTACCAAATTGTTTAATGGAGAGGCCAAAAAAATTCAGCTCGGGTTCTCTTCCAAAAAACCTCATCTAACTTCGGATGCATGGACGTTTAATAGCGAATGAAATTGGAATTCAAATCGAGATTACATTTATTTTCTTTAAATATTGTATTGCAATACTGCTTTCGATGTGTAAAAAATGTATTACTGACTTATCTTTCCTTTGCATCCATTGTTATTAACGTTTGGGAAGAATGTAACAAAAGAAATAGAAAATTATTTCCTGATTTTGTCTTTTCTTTGCATAAATAAACGACATTTCCGCTTCTAATGATAAGTAGATTTTAACTTTTTTAAAGGATTTTTTAACACTTGTTGATTGTATTGTTGTTCAAGGTGTGTTAAGTTGGGTGGTCAAATTATGGAAAATCTAATTTTAATGTTAACAACCTCGACCTCATGAAAACATTATTATTTATTTCAATTAAGTAATCTTTTTATGTAAGGTTTTGGTTGAAATGAAAAAGTTAGTGACACTCGCGGGATTCGAACCCACATTGAGCTATCCTGACGAAGTGTCACAATCGGGATTGAGCCGAAGGTCGTGGGTTCGAATCCCACTTGTGACACAAACTTTTTCATGTCAACCAAAACCTTACATAAACAGAGTAATTAATTGAAAGAAGTAATTTGGTAATAGACCACTAGAAATGTAATGGATTATTATTTATATAAATAAACAGATCTGTTCAAAGATATTTCGTCAATGCAATTCTTCGAGGACTTCACACCTAACCTAACCCGTCCCTAACCATAACCTAACATAAACCTAATCTAACCTAAGTACAAACCTGCCTTACCCATCCATTCCTAACATACCGATCTAAAATGATCGATGATATTGTCCAGACCATAGTACAAAACGTTTCGCGCTCGCTTTTTTTTATTTGTTTTTAAATTTGAAAAAACATTGAATCCTGGATATGTAACAAACCCTCCTCGGTAACGCTAAATGGTCGCGCAAAAAAATTTCCATCTAGTCCATGTATCCTTGTTAAATTTAAAAGATTGAATACCCTTATTATCTTCATTGGCCAAAAATATTTCTAGTCAAATTTCAAATTTAGAAAATAACAATGAGAAAAGGTAAGAGAATTTTCCCTCGCTTACTCGATCTGGCCAGCTGGAACCGTTCATTTAATAAAAAATAAAATCATGAATAAAACTGAATAATTATCAATTATTAATGTTTACAGTTACCATTATTTGTTATGAATATATTGTTTTCGATTATAACGTAAATATGTTGTTTTATTAACTCATATGAATTAAATTTATGTGAACCTATAAGTCTTAAAACGTTATGAAATATAGACTTTTCAAAATTTATAAGCATTTTCTTAAATATTTATAAAAGAATTTCCAATGCAAATTTTCTATTAAGCATTACCCACATTATTAATACTTTCAATTAATTAATGTTTTTACATGAGATAAAAAAGTCAGCGTCACGAGCGGGATTCGAACCCACGATCTTCGGCTAGATACGTCGCTACTCTACCACTTGAGCTATCTTGACTTCGATTCTCTCGGGCACTAATTTCCCATCTCCGAAGGTCGTGGGTTCGAATCCCGCACGTGACGCCGACTTTGTTATCTCAACTAAAAACCTCAATTAATTGAAAGATATTAACTGGTCAAGCTGACTACGAAAACTAATAAATTATTAATACTATTCTCATTTTTTCATATTTTTCTCAGTAATTTATACACTGCTCTCTGTTTATTTTTAATTTGTCTCTCTTGCATGTCTATCCAAAAAATATGAGTTGTTCACAAACTTATAAAGTTTAAAGGCTTGAATATTCTTATTTTTTAAATAGGCTTCTAAAATCCTTGGACCGGGTAACATAATATTGATATGATGGCCAAATGACCTAATTTCGCAATAAAAAATTAGGACTTTCAACTCCAGCATTTATGCATTAATTGGGTCAATTATGTTCCCCATTAATTAACAAAAGTCCCTAAATTTGCTTTTCGCTATCCAGTTAAAAGTGTAAGTAAAAAAGGCTCGTATTTAGCATTTTATAATTTATATAGATTTTCTTAAGCTTTCTTAACCAATCATAGCAGGCTATCAATCAAAATATCGTATCAAAATAATATTTAAAGTAATCAAATCGTTATAATTTGGTTATTAAATATTACAAATGTTAAAAGAATCGGGAAAATACCCTCTCATTCACTGGGAAGGCACAAATTCAGCCCCCTCAGATTCAGTATTGTTGAAGTAGGTTTCCGAGACAAGTTGTACACCGGAATTGGCCTACTTCCAGCCCTCGGCCCTCACCCCCGACACTAAACCCCGAGGCGAACTCGCCACCTAACGCACTCCCGGGCTAAATGATAGTCGAGAGAAATACATTATTTGACTTCAATTTAACTTCCTCCCACCCCCTAGTGTTGAACTTCCCGGGCGAACTTTGATTATCCGAAACTCTTCAGGACCGAAAGGAATAAGCTTCGACCTCAAATTTCCACCTAATTCTGATTTTTTTTCTTTCTTTTTTCAGACACGGATGGAGAAAGCGGGAGTAGGGAAAGCCTGGTGGAGCGAAAGATGCAGCCCAGTCCACCCATCAAAACTACCACCTATAAGGTAAAAAAATTGTTTTATAATAAAAAAAACTATCGTTAAAAAATATGATCCAAAAATGGAATATTAAAAAACTCGTTTTCTATTATTAATAATAGTAATCAGCAGACGTTATCCATTAAATATCATTTTTTGATAGATTACATCCTAATTTTTTGGAAGTAAATAATATGTTGATTGGTAAGAAATAAATTGTATTTTCAACAATAGGCCTATTTCTTAGCAATCGACTAATTAAATATAAATAAATTAATTCCTGTCACACAGAAGTGCTGAACGACCGGTTTGTGGACAAGGGGTCAAACCAGTATCCGATACTATTTTCATGTTATTTTTAAAATAAAAAGCCATGAGCCTGCATTCGAACACAGAACCGCTCGCGTGGCAATAAGAGTCGGACACCCTAACCACTAGAATTTTCTTTAAAAAAACGGGCTTATTATTTACCTTCGTTCTTGATTACCTTTTAATCATTGGTTTTGTAATGATTGTTTCCACGGAGAAAAAGAAAACGGGAGTAGAACAGATTGAGATATGAAGTTGGAAATGAAGTGTTGGTGCAGAGTATAAAGGAACTTCGGCGCTAGTTTACTGCCAACTCAGCAAATCTGGCAGAAAAGAAAGTGTATTGATTATGTGTGGTGTTTAGTGACCGTTCGTTAAGGATTATTTCGAGATCGTGAGATGGGGCCTGGTGTGACGTAGGTTTTAGAAAAACATTTCCTTTATCGTGCAAAGAAAACAAACACTTCGAGCCTTGAAGATGATCTCAATAAAGATCGAAACGTTGGCACAACAAAGAAAATGTTTTTCTAAAACCTACGTCACTCGAGACCGCATGTCACGATCTCCAAATAATAATTTATTAATTATATCGTCCCTCTTTTAAAACATTTTGTCTTACGAATAAATTTTACACAAAATCAATATATCACCTTAATCACGTCTTAAATTCAAATGTGAAGTTCTATATGGAAAAAATGTTCGGAAGAAATTATCTTTAGCTTTGATGATTTACTATTTTAAAACAAGAAAAAAGAGGGCGCTGGTGGCCGCAACGGTTTAGGCGTTGACACAGTGCTCATCACTGTAAGGTAAAGGTCCCAGGTTCGAATGCACTGCCGCTGGATTAAAAATAACTTAAAAAAATAACGTTACAATATGTTCACGAAACTTTTTTTTTTCAGAAAGTATATAGAGTTTATGAAATTGAACAGTAGTGTCTTACGCCGAGAATTTGCCGGCTTCGCTCCGTGGAGACGGGCGGGGTTACTTAATGAATTAACAACAATGATGAACTTAATATTAAATTTTTAAACAAATGGGCGCCACGCTGTTTATATACACGGAAACAGCGAACCGTAAAGAAAGAAAAATAAAATAAAATAAAACAAAGGAAATTCAATAGCAGTAAAATTAATTTTATAAAAAGCAATATTTACATAAGGAAACAAAAAAAATTCATTTATTCCAATGGAAACTAAAACATTAAACATAGATTGATCTTAATTCTCTACGGGTAACATTTTAACAAACTTACACACTAAATGAACCTAAAATTATCATAAAATCTAAATAAACATTCCTTAAAACTAAACTTTCCTGGGAACCAGTGTCCAGATATGCTTCTTTTCCAGGCGCTTGAAAATCCCCGCTTCTAGGAATGTGGAGCACCTTCTCTGAAGTTGAGTGGGTCCGCGATCGCCTTCGTTGATTTTCTTTGATCCGGCCAGGCCGTAGGGATATCCGTCTCGACGCACACTGTCCTCGCTTTTCCTTTACTCCTAGACCGTCTTAATTTTGATTAACCCACCGCCAATTTTAGTTTAGGTGGCATTACAATTAAGGAGGCATCTCTGTCCAAACAACTACAATACACTCATAAAATGTTATGTTTTTATACTATGTTACGTCTTACGAACGTAACAAGTGTAGTTTTCATAGTCATTTTCATTATCGTCATAGTGTATCATTATTATCACATAGAGTTTGCAAATTCATTTATATATTCCTCAAATTTTAGCTACCATCGACCCATTTCAATAGTCATAAACATTCAAAAACAGCGGCATCCTGAGAGTCAGTATCACCTCTGCTGTTGCGAACGCTCGTAAAAAAATCTATCAGTACTGTAAACAATAACAGCAGCCCTGTTTCTTTTAAAAATCGGAACAAGTAACTCTTCAATTATGTGGTATTCGAACCACCTTTTTTGTGGGAAAAAGGTCCCAATGATTACTAATGAATAAGGAAATACAACGGATAACGTCAAAGAAGCAGTATTTTTCGAATAACGAACCAATATTCTTCCGAGAACATCAACTTTTTTTTATAAAAACCAAAAGAAAAATTATATAAAGATAATGGCCAATTTGAATTTTTACATAACAAAAGGCGGATATTTATATATTTAATATTTCTAATCGTCTAAAATATAGATAAACAAACATTTTAATCGCCAAAATTTATAACTAAAGACAAATAATTGAAAGATTTATAAAATTAAAATTTATATGATGTAAAAAAAGCTCGGATAACAAGGTAGAATTAATCATTACAGTCCTGCCACCTGGTTTCTTCCGTCGGGTAGGGTTCCTTTGATTAGGGTCTGTCAAAAGGGTTTAGAATTGTCTAATGACATTTTTCTTCCCCTCCGAGTTTCTACATGGATCCTTTTAAATGAAACCCTTTTCGTTGTGTACAGTTAACCCATTTATTATTAGGCTTCTGTTCAATTAAATACTTTATCAGTTGTGTTAAAAAAGGTGAAAATTAAAATTATATGGATAATTGTGTGTTTTTTTAATTAATTTGATATATTTTAAAATTTAAAAAAATCGGAATTTTTGTTTTTTGCACATTTTTTAAAACCTTACACTTCAGTGAGAAAACAAACCTGCAATTCATCTCCGTCGTGCGGGTTTAGCATTTTAACGCCGGTTTTTTTAAAGTAGCTTGTTGAAAGATGTAAGCATTGATTTTTTTAAATAGATCAAGTTTACAACCTAGTATTATTGTTTATTTACAAGTCTAGGAGAAAATGACCTCATAGGGAATCAGCAGTCGCGACTGTAGTCGTGCGTTGGCTGGGTCGAAGCCAGAAGAGGCGCGGCCCGGTTGGAAACCGAACTATTTACGACCCCGTTAATTAATGGATTCCTTTCCAATAACCTGTCTAGTTAGATTGGCAGCCTTAGTCGTCTACATTCACGTCGACCCAATTCTCCATCTCGGCGTTGGTAGGGGCCCTCATTCACTTTCCCCACTAGAATGAAAAGAAAAGCCCAAGGCAGGTACTGTATTGTAAATTGTACCTGAGAGAAAAAAAAATAAGCACGATTTAAGGATATTTTGCAGTTTTCTTTTAAAGGAAAATCTGTATCGATTCCAATTATGTGGAAAAGCCCCAATTAAGAGGAATTAACTACCATCATACAATTGATTATATTTCAATTTAAATAAATTCAAAGTATGATGTATTTAACATAAATTATTCTTATAAATAATTGCTATTTTAAGTAGAATATCTTCAATAAAAAAAATGTATAACTCTTTCAAATATGCACTTAGCAAAAACCACACCTAACGACTGGTTTATTTTATTTAGCAATTGTTAACAGCATATTAACAGTTACATACAATACGTATAAACAGAAACACATCTTAAGCTGACTAAATCGATTTAATACTATAATTTATTCACTAGTTTTCGTGGTCCGCTTGATCAAATAATATCTTTCAATTAATTAAGGGTTTTAGTTGAGATAAAAAAGTCAGTGTCACGAGCGGAATTCGAACCCACGACCTTCGGCTCGATACGCCGCTACTCTACCGCTTGAGCTATCGTGACTTCGATCCCGTGGGTTCGAATCCCGCTCGTGACACTGACTTTTTTTTATCTCAACTAAAAACCCTTAATTAATTAAACTATAATTTATAAAGACAGGATTAAAAATAAAAACAAATGGAAACCTCCTTAATTCACATTAGAATTTATTTTAGTTTCATGGCATTCTTAATGTAATTTATTACATTTTTAAAAAAGTACATTTATTATATTGCTTTCCATATCGTAATCATCACGTATAGTGAAAAGTCTTGACTTCAATGGCCGCGACTTGGTATATTAATTTTCTTAAATTAATTCAAATCTTTGTTAAAAGAGGTCGCATTATTTTGGAGCTAAAATATGTGGAGAACACAATGACTGATGCTGCAAAATTAAAAAAAAAACTTTCGTTTTAACTACTCATTGTTATTAGTTTTTTAAATTTAATTTATTTATATTAAGTTTATTTTTTTAATTATTCATTTTTCTCGAAGTTCGTCGCGGAGGTATTGGGAGTTCCACGGATTGGTAAGCCCCGATATAGAAGGTTCCGGCTTAGGAAATAATCAAATCCTTAAACAATACTCCAAACACGGCTAGACTTAAAATTTTTAGCCTATAATCTTGCAGGTTGATCGTTATTGCACTGAATTATCACTGGCACTAATTGACCGAATTAATATTCCACGCGGCTTACTTTCACACGCCGAAAAAAAGAGTCCTCATGTCTCAACAGATCCAATTAAATCATTAAAAAAATTAAGCCCCTTATTTCTAATTTATAACGTCGTGAATTCCTTGACATTGTTGAATCCCTCAAGGCTCAGATTGATGTCTAATTAACCGTTTAAATAAGAAAGTATTCTAAAACAGGCAGTTTATAATTGTTTAATCTCACATTTTCTCTTTATTTATGACTGTTATATTCAACGATATTGGGTTGTGAGATATGTAGTCATACAGAAAACACAGCGTAGCGCTCAATTCTTTAATTTGCCAACGTTTCGAATGATTTTCATTATATTTCAAGACAACTCTGGAATAAAGGTAGAGCCGCTTTTGTCCACTTTTTTCCGGTGTTAGCATTAAAATCGTAGCCGTAATTCGTTTCGAAGTGGGAGTTCTTCAATTTTTTTTTTATGCTGGTACTACTCTAATTACGTGTCAAGGGCTA